CCTTGGCCGGCTCCAGGAGCTACAAACTCAGCTTAGAAGGAACACTGCCCATGTCTGCTGCGTGAACCTAAGAGCAGGAACCTGAGTGAGTACTGATTTGTAAGCAAAGGGGAACTTCGCAAGGAGAGTGTGGGAGATGGCAGCAAGTTGACTGAGCATGGGGGGGGGGGGAGGCGGTTGCTCTCTGTGGAAATCAGAAATGGTGTGTTAGAAAGACTGTTTGCTCCCAAAAAGCCCTGGTAATCGGTACACCTTCTTTCCTCGGATGTGGTGGGTGTTTCTCGTGCTCCCTTTTTCAGATCAGATCCTGATCAAGGAGTAACCTGGGTGCAGATGATTGTGTCCCAGTGAACCCGAGCACCGATTGGGCCCCATTAACCTCTCTTCCCTGGCATGTTTGTGGAAATGTTTGTCGCAAAAAGCAAACAACAACAGGGGAGACTAAGACAGGCAGGACGGGAATCGGGAGACTAGAAAGGCCAAGACCAGTGTAGGGCAAGGAGACAGTTGATCTGACTCTCGTTTATTCCCGATGAAGTTGTAAGCTATTTGTATGTTTAATGCTTGGGAAAACAGCAGGGTTTTAGAAAAGAGTCTGTCTGTGTGAAAGGCCTTGAGTCAGCTCAGGAAACAGGAATGTGCCTAAAAACCAAAACCATTTTTGTCAATCACAGTTTTCTTTGTTGTTGGATTTCTTTGAAGGACGATTTATGGTCCATTGCTCTTGTAATGTATTCAGAAGCTGCCCTGAATGCATTAAGATGAATGTGGAATCATCTCATAGGGAAGCTATGTTAAGCTTCGTCTTGGCCAGGGATTCGCGCCAAGACTAATGCGACCAATCACATTCAAACAGACGGGAAGCGGGAACGCTTGTGATTGGACTATATGCGCTCAACCTGATAGGTTGATATCTGTATAGGAGGTGTGGCTACATTAGCCCGGAATTTTTAAATACCAAGCAGCTGCAATGGAATAGCTGTTCGGGCTATCGAATGTTGTACCGTGTTGGAGAAGTGATCATCGAGCTGAATAAACCTGAGTTTTTGCTGAAATCACTCTCTGACTATTTGTTAAGCACCAGACTTAACAGCTCTGCATTAGAACAACACAGCATTGGGCCCTGCATCTTCCAACACAGTATCCTCCTTTGTAGTGCCAGGCACCGGGATGTCTGATAGAAGCCAAATATTGTGTCAAGAATCACATCTTATGGGGGAAGCTCCCGTCCTATACAGATGTAGAGGACCTTGAAGAATGCCAGATGAAGACCCCAGTGTGCCTTATTGTCTCTAGGTCAGATAAGCAATGCAAATGCCTGTAACCTTATCCCAAATCGGGGTACACCAATGGAAGTTTGCCAGCTCATACGAGACCAATGTCCCTGGGACCAGTAACATCCCTCAGTGGTGGCGAACCTATGGCACGGGTGCCAGAGGCGGCACTCAGAGCCCTCTCTGTGGGCACGCGTGCCATCGCCCCAGCCAGGCCCAGACCATCATTAAAGTGTCGAAATCTCTGCCATATAATTTTAAGTAAATGAAAGCATTTGGGATTGCTTCCCTTACTTTCTTTGGATCAGTTAATGTATGAGTTGTTTTTTCTAAAGTAAAACCTCAGTATTCGGGTTAAATTGCCGTGTTGGCACTTTGCAATAAATAAGTGGGCTTTGGATCGCAGTTTGGGGACTCGGTCCCTAAAAGGTTCGCCATCACTGATTGTAAACCACTGTGATGTCATTTTGGGTATAAGATCCTCCGCCCTTCCTGTCTGGAGCAGAGAGCAGCTTGGCTTTAACGGATGCCTTAGGCATTATGTTCTGTACCTCCTGTTACTGCAATAAAATACTTATCCAGCTCAGTGGACTCCGCCTGTGTATCCTCCCATCGGGACCCCGGGCACGCACGGGGCACAGGGTTTGTACAGATTTGTGCAGCACCAGGATATGGATAACATGAAGGTTTTATTGAGTATACAACAACTTGGGTCCGATTGTACAAGGGAAGGCAGCAGTAGCAATGGATGACATGCAAGGGAAGGTGGCAGCTACCCTCCCCCCTGTTCCTACAGGAACTCATACAGAGGTCTCACCCCCACGTTGGATGCTGCTCTGTGCAGGCTGCTGTTCAGAGGTCCTTCCTCCAGCCAGCACGGTTCTCGTGCCTCTGAACTATTTCCCTCTCGGGATCATTTTCTTCCTCTCCCAGTTTTGATTTCCCTGCATCGGTTGCTAGATCCAAGTCCCCGCTTCCTCACCAGGAGAGTGGGACGGGGGCGGTCTTAATGAAACGGGGGCAGCCAGGTTGACGGACGGGCCCCTTTCAGAACTGTGAGACCCCAGAGCTACCCAATGTCTCTAGAAATGCCTGGAGGAGGAAGGAACTGCTCCCCCCACCCCGTTTCCTAATAACGGCGGCCCCTCCACTCCCTTCTGAATTTCCCCAGCCACTGGCCTTCTCTCCACCGTTTCTCCTCCCCCAAGCCCAAACCCTTCCCTTACACATATTTTTCTTTCCTTCTGGGAGTTGTAGGCCCAGACTCACCTACCGCTAGCCAGGCTAGCGGTACCTGCTAGTACCATCACCTCCTCTGATTCTCTCCCCTTCCACCTGTTTCTCCCCCTCTTTTGTCTGCAGCTCTGTGCTGGAGACTGTGCTTGCACCAGATGTTTTTTGTGCGATTTGGGCTCTACTGGTAAGCAGGAGCTCCTTTGCATATTAGGCCACACACCCCTAGTGTAGCCAATCCTCCAAGAGCTTACAGTAGCCCCAGTAAGTAGAGCTCTGTAAGCTCTTGGAGGATTGGCTACACTATGGGGGTGTGGCCTAATATGCAAAGGAGCTCCTGCTACCAGTAAAGCCCTCACGACATCTACAATACTTCGGACTGGATTAAAATAGAAGTCGCTACTTCATTGTAACAGGCCCTAGCCTTCAGGCCACGTCCCTTGTGCATGCTTCGACAGACACCCTATAAGCATCCTAGCCATTGTTCCGGCAGTATCAGAAGCTAATCCATTAATTTTTCCCCCCTGGCATAACACAACCTCAGTTAACTTCGAAGCCAGCTGGAAAGAGAGTTTGCATTCCCTCTGCTGTTTAGGGTAGGTCTGCCCAGTACCCAGTAAGGCCCAAGAATTATCCATTCACAATGTAGCAAATTAATTTTTAAAAAATTACATGATCGATTGAACAGTCTTGGGAGGACTCAAGATGCCTTAGAGAGACAGCCGAGACAAAAAATAAATTAAACCCCAAACCATAAAAATACAGGTGCAGTCCGTAGGGCTGCCAAGTCCCCCCGGGGGGCGGAAAACCCCCCGCCCCAGAGGCCCGTTCCCCGACACCGGGGAATCGGGCCCCGGGGGGAACCCCGCCCCAGCGTGCACGTCACAGGGAAGTGACGTTATGATACCGGGCACGCTGGGGGCGGGGCCATGGCCATACAAGGGAAAACTCTATGTTTTCCCTTGTATGGTCGTGGCCCCGCCCCCAGTGTGCCCGGCGTCATGACATCACTTCCCTGTGACGTGCATGCAGCGCACCGGGATCCGCACAGGAGTCCCCCGCTGGCAAGGTAAGTGCCACTTGGCAACCCTAGCAGTCTGGCACTGAGCAGACATACCCTAATACAGTAGGCCTTCTTTCCTTAGACTCTAACTTGCCTCGTAAGCTTTATTTTCCTCTCTAGGGAGAACTGCTGTATCAGCATTGCTATCTCCCATGTATAACTGCTGGAAATTTGCCATCTTTGCAGAAGACAAGCACCATGAAACCCCTTGCACATACTTACAAATAGACACTCACCTAGTCACCTGTGGCGATTAGTAGTTGCCTCTGGGTGACCGGGCAGGGTGGCTCTCTTTTTTTTGGTAAGATGAAAGAGAGTTTTGTTTTGGTTTTTTTCCCCCCCTTGCAGGTTAATAATAAGATCCGCATTTGTGGGTGGGAAAAATTTAGAGCTGCAAACCTCCCGGTGATGGCTGGAGATCTCCTGCCATTACAACTGATCTCTACACAACAGAGATCAGCTCACCTGGAGAAAATGGCTGCTTTGGAAGGTGGACTCTGTGGCATTCTACGGCACTGAAGTCCCTCCCCTCCTCAGGCTCCACCCCCAAAATCTCCAGGAATTTCCCAACCTGGAGCTGGCAACCCTGGAAGAACTATTAAAAGATATGTGTGGTCTGATAACTTGCATAGCAGAACAGGCACATTAAGAAGGAGCTGGGAGATAGAGCTAGGAGGTCTCTGGTTCAAATGATGCCTCTTTGCAGCTCTCCTTTGTTCACCTGAGGCATGCCGCTCATCCTCGGCTTCCTCCCATCAGCGATATGGGGGATAATAATACTGGCCTACCTTACAAGAACATTGTAAGGATTCTAGACAAGGTAATGCACGTGAAGCACCTTGGACACTTAAAGCATTATATTTATACATTATTATTATTATTATTATTATCATCATCATCATCATCACTCCAAGCAGTAATGTGTACCTCAGGAAAAGGCCCAAATGGATATGAAGGTGGGAATTATTAAAAAGCAGGAATATCAGGGTCTGAATGTATGCCCCCAGTTGTGTATTTGCAGGGGACGCCTTAGGCATGAGAAACGTAAGAGAGACCTTCCCCCGACCCTCTCCCTGACCAAGGCCCAGGGCTACTTTTGGGCAGGAACGCACAGGAATGGAGTTCCGGCTGGCTCCCAAGTTGGCCACGCCCAACAGGAAATCATTAGCATAATAGGCCACACCCAACAGCAGAAACTCATTAGGATTGGCTACATTAGGGGTGTGTGGCCTAACATGCAAAGGAGTTCCTGCTACAAAAAAAGGCCCTGGGTTTTGACAACAAACAAGGCAAACAGAATACCAAGCAAAAGGTGGGTGTGGCTGGATGACCACACTTTGGGTAACATGGGGGTGCGGCCTAATGTGCTAATGAGCTGTGCTGGCAGGGGTGTGGCCTAATATGCTAATTAGTTTCCAGTGTTGGGCATGGCCTATTATGCTAATGAGTTCCTGCTGGGCTTTTTCTACAAAAAGAGCCCTGCCAAGGCCTAAATGCTCGTCATCAGAAGGGGACAAGTGACCAGAGCGTCCCCTCCACGTGGCCTGGGGCTTCCTTTCCCCCATCTGGAAGAAACAGGAATAACAGAGTAGCAGGCAGTGAGCTATTGCTGGGATCCAGGGGTGGGATTCCCAGTCCTTCCACTGCTGGGAAATCTTGGAGGGGAGTGTGAACACAATGAGGGCTGCACGGAAGCTCTGTGCCCAGCAAAACATGGCTCTAAACTTGGGTGTGCAAATTAGTATGAAAGCAGTAGGCTAGTGTGGCGTGCGGTGGTGTCCTTGCGGATAAATGCACATTCATTAATAAAGGGGGGGGCGTGCGCGCATGTGCTTGAACGTGAGCACTGGCGTATATGAGAACGTCACGGGGTTTCTGAGACTGTAGCCGGATCCTTGGGATTTAAACCAAGAGCTTTAAAGCATGGCTACCAGCTGGTGAACCCTTTGGAGTGCTCTCTGAGATGGGCAGCTCTATGGGCACTGTACCTGTTCCTTTCCCGTGGGAAAGATGCCAGAGGTGTCAGGGCCCATTTCTATATTCCCACCATCCACCCATTGGAGCTAAAAACTGGATTTCACCAGTGTGACCTTGATAGGTTGTGCAGTGTCATGAATGTATACCACCTGATGGGACTTCTTCTCACCTCTCCACCCAAGACACCTCCCATTGCTTGGACCCTGATTACCTACAGGGCTTTGTTCAGATGCCCACATTTCACAGTCCCAAAACGGAGGTGAATCCCAATTGGTTGTTCTGGAGACAGAGAAGTTCTGATTGGCTGATGGAGGCAATGGCGCCACCCAAGGTGGACTCTTTCGAGACGGCTCCTCATTGGTTGATTCTAGGCGGTGCAATGTAGACTTCGGAACCTTGGGCTGTGATGACGCCTGATTGGTCTCCTCTGAGAGAGGTGATGACCAATTGGAAGCTTCCGAGGCACATGACACGTGATTGGGTGTCTGGGATGAAGGCAGTGTGTGATTTGCTGCTCTGGAGTCTCCACGACAGCTTAGTTTCTGAGGGTTTGTCTGGTTGTGCTTGGATGCCACACTGCTGAGCTCTAGTTCATCAGAGTTACTGTCACTGGGGAGGTGATGATGCTCCAGACTATCACGTGACCCGGAGATCTTGTCTAAGGAGGAGCGAGAACTGGTCTTTCCTGCGGAGAGGGAAATGGGATTAGAAACCTCTGTCTACTACCCAAGGCACCTGAGTTCATGGGGAGCAAATGGGATAACTTCACAGAAAGTTCGCAAACTGATGGCTGATCCGTAGGGGCCTCTGTGGCCCCTAGCCGAAACCCTGAGCTGCGGTTCAACAGGCCAAGGGCTGAGTCAATATTTACTCATTCACGTTCCTCAAGCAAGCGACTCACTTCTGCGTTAAAATTTCAAGCAGAATCCCATTAAGATAATATTGTCCAATAACACCCTTCAGGCAATTTCAGGTCAGGAAAACCGCATAGTGGTGGAGAGACAGATGTCCATATCTCTCCCCCCCCCCCAGCACTGTAGTCCCAATCCACATCAGGCCCCTGTGGCACTTGGGGAATTGGTTCCCAGCCGCTGAAACATGACTGATAAGTTGCTAACCTCCAGGTGAGGCCTGGAGATCTCCTGGAATTAACAGCTGATCTGCCGACGGCAGAGATCAGTTCCCCTGGAGGAAACGGCAGCTTCAGGAGGCGGGCTCCATGACATCCCATTCCCATGGAGCCTCCTCTTCAAACTCCACCCTCCCCAGGCACCGCCCCCAGATCTCCAGGAGTTTCCCGAGCCAGAGGTGGCAGACCTTCCCGACTGATGACGGTGACTGCAGGCCTGACGGCAGAGATCAACTCAAACTCCACCCTTTCCGGCTGGCTCCTGATTTGGCCGCACCCAGCAGGAACTCATTGGCATAATAGGCCACACCCAACAGCAGGAACTCATTCTGATTGGCTACATTAGGGGTGTGTGGCCTAACATGCAAAGGAGTTCCTGCTCCAAAAAAAGCCCTGGGTTTTGACAACAAACAAGGTAAACAGAATAACAAGCAAAAGGTGGGTGTGGCTGGATGAGCGCACTTCTGGTAACATGGGGGTGCATCCTAATGTGCTAATGAGCTGTGCTGGCAGGGGTGTGGCCTAATATGCCAATGAGCTGTGCATAACCTCCCTGTGGTTTTAATTGATAGATCCAAATTATTCTTTCCATGGTACAATCCCATTTTCTGGATGACCACACTTCTGGTAACATGGGGGTGCATCCTAATGTGCTAATGAGCTGTGCTGGCAGGGGTGTGGCCTAATATGCTGAGTTTCTGGTGTTGGGTGTGGCCTATTATGCTAATGAATTCTTGCTGGGCTTTTTCTACAAAAAGAGCCCTGACGGTGGGGGTTCAGAACCCACCCGTCCAATTCCGGAAAAGAACACCATAAGAACATCAGAGGAGCCCTGCTGGGTCAGACCAGTGAGGGTCCGTCTAGGCCAGCATCCTGTCTCACACAGTGGCCATCCAGTTCGTACAGCAGGACAACAACAGGGCCAAGTGGCCGAGGCCTTCCCCTGAGGTTGCCCCCTGGCTTTGGGATTCAGAGGCTGAGTGCCTCTGAATGGGGAGGTTCCCCTCAGTCACCATGGCTAATGGCCACTGACAGACCTGTCCTCCATGATCCTCCAACATCTCATCTCGTTTGGCTCAATTAAATGGTTTAATGTGAAGGAAGCGTTCAGTTTCCGGTGGTGAGACATCCTTCTTAGGAACATAAGAGACGCCAATGTTGGATCAGGCCAATGGCCCATCCAGTCCAACACTCGGTCACACAGTGGCCGAAAAATACCAGGTGCCATCAGGAGGTCCAGCAGTGAGGCCAGGACAATAGAAGCCCTCCCACTGTTGCCCCCCCCCCCAGCACCAAGAATACAGAGCATCCCTTGCCCCAGACCGAGAGTTCCTATCTATACCTTGTGGCTGATTGCCACTGATGGACCTCTGCTCCTCTTGGGAGGCCTTTCAGATCGGACTCCCTCTGCCCAGCTATACCTCAGCTCCCACCCCCTTGAGTCCGCGTGCACACCCGAGAACCCTGGTACCCCAGGTGCCCGGCCCTCCCCATTTGGAGATCCCCCCCCATGTCCCGCTTGCCTCTCCTCGTACCTGTCATGTGTTTCCCTCGCTGCGAAGCCTCCGCTGCCAACGCGTAGGAAAGCTGGATTACTCTCTGTCGCTCCCACTCGGGGGTTGGGGGGCATCGAGGCTTGGGTCCCACATTTTGAACGCCCTCTTTGGGTGATGACTCAGGGGGGGTATTGGGGAGGGGCTGAAGGAGAGATTAAATCACTTGGAGGGGGGAGGGGGGATGAACGGAGTTCTACCCCTGCACCGCACACCCCTCGTTACAAACCAAGTCGGAGGCTAAGCACTGTCATAAAGATCCTCCCTGTGGTTTTAATGGATAGATCCAAATTATTCTTTCCACGGTACAATCCCATTTTCTGGATAAAACTGCAGGCATCCTGCCTCCCAGACCCTCCTAGGCAGAAACCAGTATTCATCGTCCCTGTGGTCCCACCAACCCCATTCCTGTTTCCGAAGACCCAAGAGTATAAGCTTCTACTTGCCCCATGTTAAATCATGAGCCTTTCCCACCCCCTTTCAGAGAAGAGTCCCATTTCCCAGCCATGACCTGTCCCATTGCGCAGTAGAAGGACCCAGGTGTCCTGCCTTCCCCCCCCCCAGCAGTGTCCACTAGAAACCACTCCCCTCCCAGCCCTCCCAGGTATCCTCCTGGTTCCCCTCCCTCCCTCAGCCCCAACACACGACTCAAGGGCTTGGAGTCCCAATAAAAAACTTGGTAGCGATCCCTCTGCTCTCCTTTGCCTCTCTCCGAAGTCCAGAATCTCCCTCCTTCCAAGGCTCTACACCCACCCGGCTAGACCCACGCTTGAGGGAGTCTCGCCAGTGACTCGGAGGGCTGAGCTGTGTGGCTTCTGATTTCCTTTGAGCTTCTTGGTTCCTTTGCATCCTGTCGAGCTGTTCCTGGGCACTCATGCGGGAACGACGAGGGGCAGTTGTATCGGGGGAGACCACCTAGGAGGATTGGGGAGGAAGAGGTTACTGCCAGTGTCAGTCTCCAGATCCCACTCGCCTGACAGAATTGGTATTTCCTCTTTGTCAACTGCTGTTACACCACTGTTTAGCCATGCTGGCATTCTGCAACAGCTCCCTGCCATCCTCCTCCGGTCCTTGATGCCTTTGTTGGACTCCATTATATTCATTCCAGCTCTATCCCAGGAGTTCCTAAAATCTAGCATTTCCCCCACCTCCAGCCTTCCAAACTTCAGAAGTCTAGACTCTGCTACCCTGATCCTGACAGGCCTCTCATACCTTGGCTCTGCTGCGACTGCCGTCTTCACAGAGTAGGTTGCTGTAGTTTCCACGGTCTGTGCAGAGAGAAAGAGAAAACAAAAACAAGCCCTTCACCAGAGTGTCAATTTTGCTGCGTCTACCAGCTTTTACTTCCACTCTCACAGGGACAAGCCCACAAGTCACCCAGTGGGCCGTGCTCAGACATCCCAGCCTGCGTGGCATCCTGGACTTATAAAGATGCATTCTGAAGGATTGGAGCAGGCTTTTTCCTCATGCGGCTTGAGATGGGCTCCTTCCTGCATCTTCTCCACTCATTTGACAGACATACTAATCAGCAAATCGAAAGCCGTTGTTGGGGTGTGGAGGGGGGGGGCTCTTCGGCTTTGAAACGGAGATGAGCACCGCAACCCTAGAGTCGGATTCGACTGGCTTTCGAGCAAGGGAACCTTTACCTTTAGGAAAAATCCACACCCCTCAGCCTTGCTATGCTCAAGACTGGATCCTGAAGATCCAGAACTTACCTCTGAGGGCTACACAGTTCTTTTACTGGGAGGGAGGGGTGAAGAGAAATTAGCCCCGTGCCTCCCCACTAACAGCAGCACAATGGGGAGTGTTTCCTTCCCTCCCTTTTTTATTACCCTGTAGTCTGAATGGAGTCGTTGGCTTTCATGCTGCCTGTCAATAGACAGAGAGTGAGGGGTGTGCATGGGGGGGGGCAGTTTGGTGTAGTGGTTAAGTGTGCAGACCCTAATCTGGGAGAACCGGGTTTGATTCCCCCCTCCTCCACTTGCAGCTGCTGGATGACCTTGGGCAAGCCGTAGTTCTGATAAGGGCTGTTCCTGAAAGAGCAGTTCTCAAAAGAGCTCTCTCAGCCCCACCTACTTCACAGGGTGTCTGTTGTGGGGAGGGGAAGGGAAAGCAGATTGTAAGCCACTCTGAGACTCCTTTGGGTAGTGAAGGGCGGGGTATAAATCCAATCTCTTCTTCGTCATCTTCTTCTGATATTTTTCCTGCACCCCTGGGGTTTTCTTCTGGCTCCATTTTGGTGTCTTAGTAATCAACATAGGTCCATCCACTCTAATATGAAAGACAACAAGCTGGGGCCCCATAAGGAAGTGTTCATGGGAGGGGATGATTTCTAGATTTACCTTCCATCCCGCCCACCCCCACTCAAATCTGCCTCTCCGAAATTATATAGGCATTCAGGGACCGCTGTCCCCTCCTCTTTTCCCCTCCTTTAATTGTTTCTCAGCTGCTCTCAGCAGTCTCTGCCTCCTGAGACATGCTCAGTCTTTATTGGACTGGAAGGGTTTTTTGGGGGGAGGGAGGGTGAGTTAGTTTACAAAGGATTTGGTGTAGTGGTTAGGAGCGTGGACTCTAATCTGGAGAACCGGGTTTGATTCCCCATGCCTCCATATGCAGCTGCTGGTACGACCTTGGGTCAGTTACAAGTTCTTTCAGAGCCGTTCTCTCAAGAGCAGTCCTGGAAAGAGCTCTCTCAGCCTCACCTACCTCACAGGGTGTCTGTTGTGGGGAGGGGAAGGGAAAAGAGATTGTAAACCACTCTGAGATTCTGAGTGAAGGGTGGGATACAAATCCAATCTCTTCTTCTTCTTCTATCTCAAGAGGCCTCGGAGTACGTCTAACCCCTTGCTTTGCCTGACTGTGGCTCCACTCTGCTGCTTCCAAGAGGGGCCTGACCCACCCACTTCACTATTTGATACAGCAACGATCATAATTCCATTAATTCAATAAAATAGGCTGTATAAACATAGGGCTGATGGTCCAGATGAGGCCGGTGCCAAAAATAACAACCCTACGCCCAGGGGTCATTTCGTAGAAAAAGAGGTGCAGGAACTCATTAGCATAACTTATTTGCATATGCCACACCCCCTGACATCACCAGAAGTGTGTCAGAAGGCAACACCCACCGCTCAGGCTCCACTGGACTGTTTTGGATTGCTAGCTATTGGGGGGGGGGGGAGAACGTGCAGTTCTGTCCTCACAGAGGAGGGAGAGCTTGTGCCTGATTAAAACTTGGTCTTAAAGGTGCCACTGGACTGTTTGGGGCCGGGGTGGGTGGGTGGGGGTCTCTGCAGCTTACCTGTCTGCTTCTTGCTCTGACTGAGGGCTGCTGGGAGCAGGGGGTGGGGCTTGTTGCATGTGCCCGCCCCCTGGGCTCTTTACTGCCGGAGCTCCGCTCCTATGCGCTCCTGAAGGAAATGACCCCTGCCTGCGCCTCTTTTTCTCTCCCGTAGCCATGTTTAGACAAGCAAAGCGCCCAGTATGATGTTATGGTGTTGTAAGAGCTTCCTTCTCCCAGCAGGGGAGACAAAAGAGGAGGAGATACAGGGCCTCATGGTGGCCATGTGCCAGCATCAGCACATCCGTTATTTGTTAGTATAAAGCAGAAGTGCAGTTGGTAATATTTCCCTCCTGTTGTCTTCTTCAAAAAGCTCCCAAATTGCTGATGCCCATCACTCCTGCATTTCTTCTTTACCTGAAGGACTCAGATCATCCCTCTGTGGTCACTAGGGCCAGTCTACACATTTCAAGGTCCTTGTATTTGTTGGGCGGTTTTCCCACTAACAAACAAGGATTTTTGTAACGTGCAGATCTCGGCCCTAAAACAGCCCCGTGAACCCAGACTTAAATTCGGCCCAAAGGGTATGTTTTCTGATCTTACCCACCTGAACCTTCTGCTTCCCTCACGGGAATACTTTTCTCAATGATCAGGGGTTCACCGGAGGAATCGATCAGACACCGCCGGATCCCATCGGAATGCCGTGGTGCCCCCTGCTGCCCTCTGCTGGAAGAAGATGGATTCTGAGAGGAAAGAACACAGATTCGTCAGTGTGGGGGACCATGGGGCTGGGGCATTGCTAAGGGCCAAAGCGTATATTTTGATTTGTCACCGGGGGGGGGGGGTCTCCCTTCCTGGGTTGCTGGGTGATGCACTGATTGCTTATTTATATATTTAATTCCATTTTGATCCTGCCCACCCCACAAGCAGGCTCAGGGCAGGTTACAAGTCACACAGATAACAGTATAATTCAGGTAATTTATTAAAATCTATTAAAACAACAAGAATTCAGAGTCAGAGTGGATTCGCCTCGACAGTGATGCTCAGTTTGGTTTCTTGATGTGTAAAGGTAAAGGTAAAGGTTCCCTTGCTCGAAAGCCAGTCGAATCCGACTCTAGGGTTGCGGTGCTCATCTCCGTTTCAAAGCCGAAGAGCCAGCGCTGTCCGAAGACGTTTCCGTGGTCATGTGGCCGGCATGACTAAACACCAAGGTGCACGGAACGCTGTTACCTTCCCACTGAAGTGGTACCTATTTATCTACTTGCAATGTCTTGCTTTCGAACTGCTAGGTTGGCAGGAGCTGGAACTAGAGACAGGAGCTCACTCCGTCATGCGGCACACTCGGGTCTCGAACTGGCTGAACTACCGACCTTCCACAGCCTGCAGTTCAGCATCTTAACCTGGTAGGGCCCCCCACCCCCACCCCCAGACTTACTGTGGCCATACTTAGGGTTTCGGCATAGGTCTCTGCACCATGCACTGTGTAAGCCGCTCAGAGCCCTTCGGGGGTGAGCGGGGTACAAATTGAAAGTATAAATAAATAAATAAATAAACCACTTGAGCCACCGCAGCTGTGTACAGGATGGCTATTTATTTTTTTTAGCCTTCTCCACCTCGGTATGCTGCTACGCTATACCAGCTGACTACAAAGAAGGCCTGTATCCTGTTGAGTGGGTGAGATGGATGACCGAAGAATGCCATTCAGAGATGCCTGAATGTAGTAAGGTTGAAAGTTTCCGGATAGCTAGGTTTTAGGTATTAATAGTGAGGTCTATTTGTTTTCTATTTTTGCCTGTGACCGAGTGGTTTATGCTTTGCAGCACTCCTTAAGTTAATAAATTTGATTTATCTTTCAAGCCGTGTTTGGAACTACTGACTCGGACGTAAGTGCAACCCGGAACGAACCCTGAGAGTGGAAAGCCGAGACCTTGAAAAAGCAGAGCTTTCGCCCTCACAAAATAAAAAGGGAGTGCATCCTGTTAGCCTGACTCTTGGAGTGCCTGTTCTCAGCACCCACAGGAGGAGGCTTGGGACCTCTTATCCTTTCAGGAACCAACAGAGACGCTTTAACACACACACACACACACACTTACAGGCTGTTGTCCCGCACTGGGACTGTCCTGCTGCCTGCTTTCTGATTGGCCCACGGTCCTGCCAGGCTCCTGCGTGACTGACACATGGCTAGATGCGGCTTCATGGTAGCAAAGGGAGGGCCCCGGAGAAGGAGCAGTTTCGGATTCCTTCTGGTTTCCCAGCAAGAGAAAGAATACGATTAATGATGTACCTGCGGGTTGTTTGGTAAAGAAAAGGCTCAAAGCAGCATCCAAATGGATGGAGGTGGGGGGAAAATCCTTGTTCCTTTTGTGGAATGTAGGAAAACGATGCTCCGGCACGTATAAATGTAACAATCCCACCAACCAGTGGGTCATACTAAGGGTCTAACTAACCCAGTATCGTGTTTCCAACCATGGCCAGGCTTATATATCCAAGTTGCCCATCCTCAGGCCATCAAAGTGAATGCTCCCTCTGAGCTGTGGAGTCCTGTGAGCAGAAACTCTACTTTGTGAGCTCCTGGCATTAAAGTGGTGAGCGAGCGATTTGGCTACTGCATGAATGAGTTTGCTCTGGAGCCCTCCTTCCTGAGCTAGGACAAAATTGTGTGAGCCGGAGGCTAAAAAACTGTGAGCTAGCTCACACTAACTCAGCTTAGAGGGAACACTGGCGATGATTCCCTCTAAGCTGTGGAGTCTTGTGAGCAAAAACTCTACTTTGTGAGCTACTGGCATTACAGTTGTGAGCGGGTGATTTGGCTACTGCATAAATTAGTTTGCTCGGGATCCATCCTTCCTGAGCCAAGGCAAAATTGTGTGAGCCGGACGCTAAAAAACTGTGAGCTAGCTCACACCAACTCAGCTTAGAGGGCACACTGGCGATGACCACCCCTTTGTTTCTCCCAGCCATCTGGGATTTAAAGATCTACTAGCTGTGGGCATGAAGGTTCCATTTATCCATTAGGGGACTAGCAGAAAGACCTGTTCTCCTTGATGGACCCACCCCTCCTCCATTCATTGGCCCAGCCCCCTTTTAAAGCCATGTAAAGCCACTGGCCATTCTGAAGCAGAAAGTCCGGCAACGTGATTGCGTGCTGGGCACAGAAGCAAGGGCAGAGGTCAGCCTCCACAGGACAAGGAACAGAAGAGAGGAGACACTAAATGAAGCACAGATGGAGAGACGGGCACGGCTTAAGGCCTAATGCTTCCGCTTAACCGGGCCGTGCTTTGGAGACCAGGGCGATTACGTAGCCCTTTCCCATTAATTTAGAAACCAGCCAATACCTCTTCTCCAGAGCAGGGCAGCATGGGACTGTGGTTCACTCCCAGGTGAGAATCCAGAGTCGGAGTTGAGGCTGGAGACGCCCCTGCAGTGGGGAAAGCAAAAGGCATTCGTCAGGGCTTCTAAGCCAGTCGCTGCAAAAGATTCCCCCCCCCGCCCCCCGCTCAATGGAACCTCCGAGTTCAGAGGCAGTCTGCCATGCGGAGTACTGCCAGGAGGCGCTCTGACCGCAGCAGCTGGCCTTGCACTTCAGTGGCTCTTAGTGGGCTGGCTGACATTCCTGGTGCCCAGAGAGACAAGACACCTCCTCAGGGGAGCAGTGGACAGAAGGCTTTAGAGGGCTTGCTGGAGGGAGGGGATTTGAGTGATGGCATTTGGGCTCCTTCTTGGCCTTTCACTGCCTACCAATGTTGGCACCTCCCCTGACTCCCAACAAGAAAGAATGAACTGTGGACATGAACACCTGTGACCTGCAGGGAGGAAGGGGACGCCGTGGCTTCCACTGGTGCCTCCTCAACACAAAGGCAGGAGGCTGTTTTTAGCCTAGGGCTGCCAAGTGGGTAAACCCCCGCTTCAGAGGACCGATTTCCGCCGCCGCGGAATTGGGCCGCGGGGGGAACTCCGCCCCCCCAAAGCGCAGCGTGGCTGCGTCATTGGAGGTGACGCAGCCACGTCAATCACGTTGGGGGCGTGGCCCCAATCGTCGGAGGGAAAATCGACGTCGCGCGTCACTTCCGGTGATGTGCTGGCGGCGCGCGCGCATCGTGAACGGCTCCCAGAGCACGGCAAGGCTCCCCCACCGGTAAGGAAATGGACTTGGCAACCCTATTTTAGCCTGCCCAGTCTTTTTCACCAGAAATAAATGGCTCACAAATGTGAGCCCCCCCCCCAAAGAGCAATGTCAGGTGACATCACCCAGAAGTGATGTGGGCACATTGGTAACATCAGGAGGGGTGACACTCTGGTTTGGGGGCAAAATTCTATGGTTTGAGGCCAATTTTACCATAGAGTTTTGCCCAAGAACCAGAGCGTCACCACTGACATGCCTATGTCACTTCCGGGTGATGTCGGCACGTCGGTGGTGAAGCTTCTGGCTCCTGGAGCACCCCCCCACCGATGTCTTGAAGGGACCTGGCAACTCTGTGTCTGGGTGAGTATGTGTGGCAGGGCCTCACTACTCTGGAAACAGCCAAGAGCCTTATGTTGACGACCTCCCGAAGGGTCTCCATGAAACGGAATCGCCCCCCTTCCGGCATTAGTATAAACAGCCCCGTCTGCCTTCCCCGTTCCGGCACTGCCTCACTTCCGCCGCGCAGCGAGAACCGCTAGTAAGGATAGAGCATCTAACCCAGCCGGTTCCTATAACCCGCAACTCTGATCCTACACATACACACACGGTTTCCCCTTCCCGTTTAGCAGAACACACACACCCCTTCCTTGTCACTTGCAGCAGATTCCCCCCTCCCTCAAGCCTAGGTCTATCTCCTCCAGTATCCAGGAGACCCAAGTTTGGATTCTCACTCTTGTTGCATTCCGGCCTCTCTTGCTCTCGGCTTCCCCTCCCTGACAGGGCTGTGGCTGTGAGGATAAAATGGAGGAGGGGGGGACCAGTGCCATGAGCTGCTTTGGGGCCCCCATTGGGGGCAACAGCAGGATACAAATATCCAGGGCTTTTTTTGGTAGAAAAAGCCCAGCAGAGACTCATTAGCATAATAAGCCACAGCCAACAGCAGAAACTCATTAACACATTAGGCCACACCCCATGCCTTCCCTTGGCTTGCCTGGGTGCCCCGCAGACCTTGAACAGGCCGGGGAAGGCATGGGGAGGCATTTAAATCCTTCCAGGGGGCCCCTCACCCACCCGCCTTGGAGTCGCTGGGGGGATTATGCACGCCACGCACGCAGAGGTTTTGGCTGTAGTGGGCGTGGCCAACTCTGAAGCCAGCCGGAACTCCGTTCCTATGCGTTCCTGCCCAAAAATAGCCCTGCAAATATCTTAAATAAATTAAACATGTACCTGTTCTTCTGCTTTCCGTGGTGGGATAGTTTGCCAGACTGGCCTTCAGACCAGCCAGGATGTCATGGATTCTCCACAAATCTTGCTGAGCAGACGCTTGGTCCTTAAAAGAAGAAGAAAAAGAGTTGGTTTTATACACCACTCTTCACTACCCGAAGGAGTGTCAGAATTGCTTACGATTTCCTTCCCTTCCTCTTCCTACAACAGATACCCTGTGAGGTAGGTGGGGCTGAGAGAGTTCTGAGAGAACTGTGACTGACCCAAGGTCACCCAGCTGGCTTCCTGTGGAGGACTGGGTTCCCTTCCTCTCCCCACAACAGACACCCTGTGAGGGAGGTGGGTCTGAGAGAGTTCTGAGAGACTGTGACTGACCGAAGGTCACCCATCTGGCTGCATGTGGAGGCATGGGGAATCAAACCTGGTTTGCCAGATTAGAGTCTGCCGTTCTTAACCGCTACACCAAGAAGATTGGATCAGATCAATGGAACCAGTCTGGTCCAGCACCGGATCTCTGCCCCCCAACCCACAGATCACAGCCATGGGTTCCATCCCGATTGGCAACAATGCTCCCTCTAAGCTGTTGAGTCTTGTGAGCAAAAATTAAACTTTGTGCGCTACCGGCATTAAAGTTGCGAGTGAGCGATTCAGCTACCGCATAAATTACTCTGCTCTGGAGCCCTCCTTCCTGAGCTAAAATGAAACAGTGTGAGCTGGAGGCTAAAAAAACTGTGAGCTAGCTCGCACTAACTCAGCTTAGAGGGAACACTGATTGGCACATAAAACAAATTGTCCCGCAATTTTCTGCAGCAGGCAATTCGCTCTGTGAATTATTTCAAGGCCTGTGCATATATCCTGTGAGACTGAAATTTCGTTGTGCAAAATTCGGTAATCGACTATGGACTTCAGATTCGTTCTAGTATTCATTTATTTGAAAAGTTTCTAGTTCTCATGATTATGAAGAATTACCAATATCATAAAAGGAGAATGGGAAGACTTCCATGGATCAAGCTGGGGAGGGGCGGCTTCAGTGCTCTTTCTATGGTTCCTTCCCACATCCTCCCAAGTTAAGCGGGAATGGCAGGGCTATTTTGGGGCAGGAACGCACAGGAACGGAGTTCCAGCTGGCTTCAGAGTTGGCCACGCCCACTACAGCCAAAACCTCTGTGTGTGTTACAGAGGGAAGGCCTGGAGAGCGACCCCCCCCCCGGTGACTCCAAGGCGGGCGGGCCGGGGGGGCCCTGGAAGGATCAGGGAGGCATTTAAATGCCTCCCCATGCATTACCCTGCCTGTCCAAGGGCCAGCTTGCCCGGGCAAGTCAAGGGAAGGCATGGGGTGTGGCCTAATATGCTAATGAGCTGTGCTGTCAGGGGTGTGGCTTAATATGCTAATAGGTTTCTGCTGTTGGGTGTGGCCTATTGTGCTAATGAGTTTCCTGCTGAGGTTTTTCTTAAAAAAAAAGCCCTGGGGAACGGAATCCACCGGGATTATTTTATACCCTGGTGAGCTGCTGTCAGCCAATGCAGACAAGACTCAGCTGCGTGGTTTGGTGGTATATTACAAAACGGGAAAAGGAGAGGCAGATGGCTCAATGAGAGAGCAGATGCTTCTCCTCAGATTCAATCCCGGTCATCTCCACTTAAAAGGAGCTCTTTAGGATCTCTTAGCAGGAGTTAAGAAGGAACTTTCTTGGCCTGATTCGAGTCTGATGGCACCTTAGAGACCAACAGGATCTTTGGGGCATCAGCTTCATCAGACAAAGGGAGCTTTGACTCTCGAAAGCTTAAACCGCAAAAGACTTGTTGGTCTTCCACTGCAGGCCAGCATGGCTACCCTCCGGAATTTTCTTTGCCTGAGACCCAGGAGAGCGACTGTCCACCAGAGCAGACAAGGAGGAGTCAAAGGGACCCAGAGACACCCTGACCTGGATAGCTCAGGCAAGCCGGATCTCATCAGATCTCAGAAGCTAAGCAGGGTCGACCCTGGCAAGTACTTGGATGGGAGACCTCCAAGGAATACCAGCAGTTGGGAGGCGGGGGCAGGCTTTATTCAGCCACCTCTCTGAATATCCTCCAGGCCTCCAGTAGGGGTCAGTCACCAGAGGTCGCCATGACTTCCAGGTGCATGTGCACGCACGCAGTCACACGCACGCACATATGAAAAATACCAACAAAAAAAAGGGACAAAGAGTCTGATTTGGTGTAAAGGCAGCTTTGTACGTTTAATGGTGCCAAAAAAAATGGGTATCAAAGCGGAATAATTTCCACAGAATAAACAAACAGAAGAGCTGCTTCATCAGCATCATGCTTTCTGATCGTGACATTTAGAGTAGTTTCATTTTTCGGTGTGAAACTTCCGCAGCCCAAATTCTGTCCTGGCCCTCAAAAGATGGTAGACCAAAGTATTGGGGGGGGGGGCAAATGAAGCACTTACCTGGGGGTGCCCCACATTCCGGATGTGCTCCAAGGAGCCCTTCAGCAACTGCAGCTCGCTTTCCAAGCCTGAATAATCCTCCCAAGCTCGGTCACTGTCCTGAATGGGAAAAGAAGATCCCCAGAGACTTATTCAGAGATTCCTCCTCAGGTACTAACAACTAACAAACAGCATGCTGAGTGAACATGCTATGTGAGGAGATCCACACAACTTACCTAACTATGAAAACCCTGGCGAGCCCACGGATTTCCTACATCAGTTATCGGTGGCTTAAAATGGGGGTGGGGGGGAGAACCGTTATACAATTCCCCTGATTGGTTGCTTGGGAGAGATTTCCTTTCACCCTAGGTGACCAAGCAAGTCTCTGTTTACAAGCCAGCCGTTTTGTTGTTGTTGTTTTTTTGGGGGGGTCTCCAATCCAGCTAGCTGTGGGAAAGAGACCAAGCTCTTCCTACAGGGATACATTCGGCAGGCTGTAGGATGAAGTCAGCTGTTTGTAACAAGACCTTTTGCCCAGACCTCAATTACCATGTGGGCAGTGATGGCTGTTTACTCAGGGACTCCTTGCCTACTTCTCCTTGGCAGCTGCCTGCCTGGCGGGGTGGAGCGGCGCTTACCAGTGCCAGATCACACAGGCGCGCTCGGACTTGCACCAGGTCATCCTGCAGCTGCCGCCGCTGGCAGCAGATTTTCTCCATCGTTGCATCCTGGCCTTTGAACTCCTCAAGCTGCAGGCGCGTCACCTCCAAGGCCTTTTCAAGCCGTTCCTGTAGAGGTGGATTTAAGGCGGAGATCAATCCCAGGTACCCCCTGCGATTGGGCTCAGAGCAACCTCACAACTTTAATGCCAGTAGCTCACGGAGTAGAATTGTTGCTCACAAGATGGTTTGAAAGATCATCCCCAGGGGGAGGCCATATAGTCCCTGCTGGATGGCCCAGGCTAGCCCCGTCTTGTCAAATTTTGGAGGCTAAGCAGGGCCAACCCTGGTTTAGTGGTTGGATGGGAGACCACCAAGGACGTCCAGGGTTGCTAGGACAGGCAGGCAATTACAAGCCACCTCTGAACGTCTCTTGCCTTGAAAACCCTACAGAGTCACGGTAAGTGAGCTGCGGCTTGACGGCACTTTCCCACCACCAAGAATCAGCAGCCTAATCTAAATCTACAGGAAGCACTATCCGCGCCGAGCTCTACGCAAATCCCGGGGAAGAACGGTGGTCTCATAAGCACTCGAGACCCCAAACCCCTCCCTCAATGCCCACAACGGGGCTGGAGGAATCCGGAAGAGAAGGGATTGGGGGAATGGACTGGCACGGACCGCGTTCAAATGCTGAATAAGGGGGGGAGGACCTGGTTGAAAGAGCGAGACAGGTGGCGGGTCCCAGCCTTACCCCTGAGATGTGCAGATGCCGGGAACGACAGTGTTGGCCCCGTCGTACAGACAGGAAGTGGGAACTCCCTTACACGCCCAGCTCCAGGACAGAAGCACTGGGTATACACTACAGGAAGGCGGGACTAAAGAGGGGGAAGCACCACGAGATAGGAGATCACGGTGATGGACAGGTGGAATAGCCTATAGGTTTATTAATCACAAAAAGGGGTGGCACTAAGGGGAGAGGAGGGGATATAAAAGAGAGGAAGCTGAAGAGTGCCGGGGAGGAATTCAGAACCGATCTCCCAGCCAACACAGAGAGAGAAGGCAAAGACGGTCGGTCTGAGGAGGCTGTCTGGGGTGTGACGCAACCCCCAGCACTTCCAAATCTGAGGCGCTTGTTTCCTCTATAGAATGTCAACACGGCTACTGGGTTTTCAGAACCTGGGGACGACCCAGAGCGTGACAAGCACCTTTCAGAAATTTCAATTGGTTGTTCGTAACATGTTTTAGAAGACCACAGCCTTGTACCACTATCTGTTCATTCTCATTCAAACTATTTATCCTTCTTCATCAGTTTGCTTTTTTCTCTTCGAATCTCTGACCTCTCTCATCATTCATTATGTGCTACTGCTAATTTGGCTGATTTATGACAGGACACACCCAGGGGTCATTTGGGGGGAGGGACGCGGGGGACGCCATCCCCCCGGGTGAGGTGCGGGAGGGCGGGGCCTGGAGCTCCCTGCTGGTGCCCGCTGGAGGTCCCCGCCGGCTGTGGGGAGGACACACTTCCGGTGATGTCAGGGGGTGTGGCATATGCTAATGAGTTATGCTAATGAGTCCCCCTAGCTCTTTTTCTACGAAATGACCCCTGCTCACACCTAACCTTTCCACCCGGCCTCCTCTCTTTTCCCCTTCACACTGAGAATTTACACTTGAATGACTCATGGCGGAATTCTCTGCCTCGCTTCTCTCCATAAGAAGAATTCCCAGTGTGACTTTCCTTCACAGATCTACCTGAAGAAGTCAGCTCTGACTCACAAAAGCTGATATTGAAATAAATGTTGTTAGTCTTTAAGTTTGGTGTAGTCAGGGGTCATTTCGTAGAAAAAGAGCTAGGGGGGAACTGCGATCCCCTGCAATCCCCCCCGAAATGACCCCTGGGTGTAGTGGTTAAGTGTGTGGACTCTAATCTGGGAGAACGGGTTTTGATTCTCCACTCTTCCACTTGCACTTGCTGGATGACCTTGGGCAAGCTGTAGTTCTGTCAGAGCTGTCCTTGAAAGGGCAGTTTTGGAAAGAGCTCTCTCAGCCCCACCTACCTCACAGGGTGTCTGTTGTGGGGAGGGGAAGGGATAGGAGTTTGTAAGCTGCTCTAAGACTCTGAGTGAAGGGCGGGGGATGAATCCAATCTCTTCTTCTTCTCTTCTAAGTTACAACTAGATTTTTCTAGTTTGCTACATCAGACGAACACGGCTAACCCCTTGCCAAAACTGCAGTTGTAGCCAACATAAATCAAGCTTGGCCTATAGGGTTGCCAGCAATGCTCCCTGTAAGCTGTGGGGTCTTGTGAGCAAAAACTGCACTTTGTGAGCTCCTGCCATTAAAGTTGTGAGCGAGCCATTCGGCTCCTGCATAATTTAGTATGCTCTGGAGCCATCCTTCCTGAGCAAAGACAAAAATGTGTGAGCTGGAGGCTAAAAAACTGTGAGCTAGCTCACACTCACTCGGCTTAGAGGGAATACTGGTTGCCAGCTCCCGGGACCCAGTGGGGGTTCCCCCACTTTGAGGCCTTCAAGCCGCCACCGGCCAGCTGACCCAGAGACACCCCACCTCCAGACAGGGACTTCACCCGGTGACATTCTGGTTTTGGGCAAGCTCTGTGGTTTTGAAGGCAAAAAACCCAGAGCATTGTACACGACGTTGCTGGTGCAATGATGTCACTTCCAGGCAGGGCTCTACTGGTAGCAGGAGCTCCTTTGCATATTAGGCCACACACCCCTAGTGTAGCCAATCCTCCAAGAGCTTACAGAGCTCTTCTTACTGGGGCTACTGTAAGCTCTTGGAGGATTGGCTACACGAGGGGTGTGTGGCCTAATATGCAAAGGAGCTCCTGCTACCAGTAGAGCCTGATGTCATCACATCAGGGACATCATGCACGATGTCCCACCGGCCCCTGGAATGTCCCCCAAATCCCCCCGCCACGACAGCAAGGGGACCTGGCAACCCTACTGGCCTATGTTTGTACTATCTCCCCCTTCCCGCCTTCCAGTTGTTTGGGTACGGCTGCCAACTCCAGATTGGGGAGTTCCTGGAGATTTGGGGGCAGAGCCTGGGGAGGCTACTCCACAGGGATGTGACCCCCCCTGAAGCTGCCATTTTCTCCAGCAGTCCTGCTCTCTGCAGTCTTGAGATCAGTTGTCATTCTAGGAGATCTCCGGGCCCCAACTGGAGGTCGGCAATGCTAGTTTATAGCCTTAAACAGAAGTGCATCTATCCAATGGATGTACAATCTGGTGCACCTGGAGATGTGAGCTCTGTCTCAGGAAAGATCAGGGGTCATTTCCTGCAGGAGCACACAGGACCGGAGCTCCGGTAGTAAAGAGCCAAGCGAAGATCCGGCAGTAAAGAGCCCAGGGGGCGGGCACATGCAAGAAGCCCCGCCCCCTGCTCCCAGCAGCCCTCAGTCAGAGCAGCCAGGAAAGCTTCAGAGCCCCCTGGTCCAAAACAGTCCAGTGGCACCTTTAAGACCGAGTTTTGTTCAGGCACAAGCTCTCCCTCCTCTGCAAGGACCGATCTGCACGTCCGTCCCCCCCCCAAATAGCTAGCAATCCAAAACAGTCCAGTGGAGCCTGAGCAGTGGGCGTTGCCTTCTGACACGCTCCCGGTGATGTCAGGGGGTGTGGCATATGCAAATAAGTTATGCTAATGAGCTCCTACACCTCTTTTTCTACGAAATGACCCCTGCGAAAGATGATGCTGAAAAGAACCTGGTTCACCTTTACAGCCCCATGAGGTTTCTGTTTAATAAACCGGGAGGTTAAGTTTCCTTGGGGGAAAGAGAGGAGCGGGAGGGGGGAAGAGGAAGGGGCAACAAATTACCTTTTCAGTCCGGAACTGGCTTATCTCCTCTTCCAGGCCACGGAGAATTTTGTCTTGGCCGCACAGTTTTGTCAAGAGAGCCTAGAAGCAGAGTGGGTGTGTGAGCAGAGCACTTTGAACACTCATGTAGGGCTACGATCATTTTAACTGCTCAATTTCTTTATGAACTATCGTAATAATAGATAGTACAGCAGAGCCAAGTCGTCTTCCCTGGCAGATCCTTCTTCCTACCTCCTGCCTCTCATTCATTAAACAACCACACATCCCCAGAGACCTGGCTTGGTGTAGTGGTTAGGAGCACGGACTCTGATCTGGGAGAACTGGGTTTGGATCCCCACTCCTCCACATGCAGCTGCTAGTGTGACCTCGGGTCAGTGTCAGCTATGCTTCCATGGGGGGTTGGGGAGTTCTTTCTGTGTCTGACTAATTGCTATTGCATTCCTATCTCTGCTGTTCTGCCTTGGCCGAAAGGCTTATCTCTACAGATGGGCAGGAGGAGGTTGTATTGTCTGGAAGTCTCCTATGTACCGTGAGAAACTACTGCCTCTCAGCTTTCGCCACCTAACGGTTTCCTAGCTGGTCCCGCGCGCGGGAGGGTATCTAATTGGCCCATGCCATGGGGGGGTGCATACGAATGCCCTATATCCTATTATGCTCAATGGGTTGCCGCCATTCTTAACAGTGCCTGTGTTACCGCATCTATAGCTTTGCCATAAAAGTATAACCGTTCCTGAATGCGTGTACTTCATTGTAAGCTGTGGGTTCTGACAGTCAGTTACAAGTTCTTTCAGAGCTGTTTTCTCACGATTTCTCGAAAGAGCCCACTGGAGCTAGTGGGCATCTAACCTGGCCTCCAGCATCCAGTAATCAAATGTCTATTTTCATGGGGGAACAGAGGCAGTCCCCCTGAGGTCACTAGCCAATCCCACTCTCTGTGAAACCTGGGTGACTCCCAGATCACAGTCCAACAATCGAACCACTACACTCTGCTGGCTCTCGGTACCACACGTGGTTCTATAGGAGCCATGGAAATGAGGATGGGTCTGCCACTTCTTTATTATTGTTATTGGTTTCGCTGGCTGATTTCGGCAGGTCCAACTACTCTTGAAGGTACACGAACAGGCCGGGCTCTCCCTCCATCCCTCCAATGAGCAAACAGCAGCACAAGACACTTACGTCAGTGTCACTTTCGAATTGCTGCCCGCCAGCACCACGGATGCTCCTCTCCCGCACCAGACTTCGGTACTAGAAAAACAGGAAAGGGGGTGATATAAACATGGAACTAATACAAGGAGGAACAATCCCCCAAATTGTCTGTTAGGGGAGATTCCGTATCCCTGCAGTGTCAAATACCGAGCAACCTACACATTTGGAAAAGATGAAGGGAACTGTTTCGGCATCCCTGCAGGTGGAAGAGAGCACGTGCTCCTCCCGTGTCTTTTTCTAAACAAACCCCCTGACAACTCCCTGCGAGTAGAAATCCAGCATTTTAGGCAACCGGATAAGCTACAGCTCCTTTGCCTAAGATACTAGTTTCTCATGGGCAGGGGAAGCATTCAAAGATGCAATGACCAGGGGTCATTTCCTGTGGGAGCGCACAGGAGCGGAGCACCGGCAGTAAGGAGCCCAGGGGACGGGCACATGCAACAAGCCCCACCCCCTGCTCCCAGCAGCCCTCAGTTGGGCCATGAGGAGCAAGAAGCAGCCGGATAAGTTGTTTTTTAGACCAGGTGACAGCCCTGACCCAGGATCTGAAAGTCAGGAGGTTCAGGCACAAAATCACATACCGTGGTCCTTTTCCCAGGGTTGGACCGGTTGGGCATGGGGGGCAGGGGCGGCAGATGGAGGTAACTGGATGAAGCAGAGTGGGGCCCCGTGAGGGCAGATCTTCACATTTCCCCCCCCCCCAATAGCTAGCAATCCAAAACAGTCCAGTGGAGCCTGAGTGGTGGGTGGTGCCTTCTGACACACTTCCGGTGATGTCAGGGGCAGTGGCATATGCAAATAAGTTATGCTAATGAGCTATGCTAATGAGCTCCTGCGCCTCTTTTTCTACAAAATGACCCCTGGCAATGACCATTTGCAGTCCAAAGCAGCGCGGTTCCAAATGACCTCACGTCAAAGCCAACCAGTAACTTGAGTTGAGCTGCAGGAGAGGAGGCAAAGCATCATGACTACGAGCCGGACAGTTCAAATTTTGCCACAGCCAGAGGCAAGCTACAGTTTTCTCCAGCTCCGCCTCCTGCCGTATTGTATTCATCATAACGACACATCTCACAGGGAGCCCTGAGGGCAAACTGATGGTGGAAGTGTTTCTGTCTAAACAGAGAGGCAGATGACCCTTGCTCATGAATGCCACGATCTCTTTTTGTAGCAGGAACTCCTTTGCATATTAGGCCACACACCCCTAATGTAGCCAATCCTCCAATTGCAATAAAACCTTAGGAAAACAAGGTGATCTATCCCATTATTGTGCTGTAATAATGCATTTCGCCATCACCATTTTCCACAGTATATATTACCAGCCGTTTTCCCCTTATGTATATAAAACTTTTCCTCTTATGTATAAGGGTTTTTATGCTGCAGGATATTAAATTTTATGCCTGGTTTTTGTGCGCGTGTTTGGGCTTTGCTTACAGCACCTGTTCTTTTGCTTGTGTTTCAGTACATGTTGAGTGAAGCCAGGGGAATCTGGGTTATCCTTTGGGATCTGTTGCTAACAGACTGAGATCTGTTCTCTTAGAACTTTTATTTTCCTAGCAGTTGAAAATACTCACTTTAATTTTTTTAATGTCCAAACTCATATATAAAGGCCAGCATGTCCTGACCTGGATAGCCCAGGCAAGCCCGATCTCGTCAGATCTCGGAAGCTAAGCAGCGTCGACTCTGGCAAGTACTTGGATGGGAGACCTTGAAATACCTGAGGCGGGAGGACAGGGGCAGGCTTTATTCAGCCACCTCTCTGAATGTCCCCCAGGCCCCCAGTAGGGGTCAGTCACCAGAGGTCGCCATGACTTCCAGGTGCATGTGCACGCACGCACTCACACACACACACACAAGCACATGTGAAAAATACAAAAAAACCCAAAAACCCAAAAGTAGCACAACAGAAGCTAGCAAACACTGTCTTTTCTGCTGCACTCTCTGAAGATTGCACCTAGAGTAAGACATGGGTGTCTCATTAAAAACCAAAGTCCCCCCCCCAAAAAAAGAAAACATTACACTTGCAGACTGGATGGATTCATTACCTGAATAACCCTCCAACTATTCATCAGGGGTTTTGGGGGGGGGTTGTTTGTTTTTTAGACCAGGTGACAGCCCTGACCCAGGATCTGAAAGTCAGGAGGTTCAGGCACAAAATCACATACCGTGGTCCTTTTCCCAGGGTTGGACCGGTTGGGCATGGGGGGCAGGGGCGGCAGATGGAGGTAACTGGATGAAGCAGAGTGGGGGGAGATCTGCAGGGAAAGGGAAGACAGTGTTAAGTAGTGTGGCCACAGGGCAGGGCTGTGTGTGTGCAGCACGATTCCACAGGATTGCAGAAAATCTGCAGTATATGGTATCGGTCACACGATGCTGCTCTCTGGAAAATCTCAGTTTCGACCCGTATGGTTGCAAAGAAGCCAGAAGAGTGGCTGGGGAAAGTTTCTAGTGTTCGGGGGACAGAGCTTCAGTGCTACAGCTTTTCCCCTTCTCACGGCCTGCGAAACCAGAACAAGACAGAACAGCAAAATAAATGTCACAAACAATGCTCATTTGCTGGGTTGGCGCAAGTCAAGTCACAGAACTGGTCTCTTCTCGGCCCAGAACTTCTTTTAAAGTCACTTTTTAAAACCCAGCTTTTCCCCATCAAGGACTCAGGTCTTTAAATATTTTTTAACGTGCGGAGTACACATAGTCCTGGACATAAGCAAGGAGGCAGACCTTCGAGCCAACGTACAGAATGCTCTGGAAGGCTAGAAACGCAGTGCAAAGCAGAGTTACACCCTTTCGAAGCCTTGTCTTGGCCGCACAGTTTTGTCAAGAGAGCCTAGAAGCAGAGTGGGTGTGTGAGCAGAGCACTTTGAACACTCATGTAGGGCTACGATCATTTTAACTGCTCAATTTCTTTATGAACTATCGTAATAATAGATAGTACAGCAGAGCCAAGTCGTCTTCCCTGGCAGATCCTTCTTCCTACCTCCTGCCTCTCATTCATTAAACAACCGCAGATCCCCAGAGACCTGCCTTGGTGTAGTGGTTAGGAGCATGGACTCTGATCTGGGAGAACTGGGTTTGAATCCCCACTCCTCCACATGCAGCTGATAGTGTGACCTTGGGTCAGTTACAAGTTTTTTCAGAGCTGTTTTCTCATGAGTTCTCGAAAGAGCTCTCTCAGTCCCACCCACCTCACCGGGTGTCTGTTGTGGGGAGGGGAAGGAGATTGTAAGCTGCTCTGAGACTCCTTCGGGTAGTGAAGGACAGGTTATAAATCCAATTTATTCTTCTTCTCCTTCTTCGTCCCAGTCTCTGCAACTAAGCTGAGCTCCCTTCACCAAAATCTGGGACTTTGTGTAGTCTAGTATGGTATGTACACCCCCCACACACACACACACACTTACTAGTTTCCATAGTCGCACTCAGCAGCAGCTGATTGGTTCATGGCCCGGATCCAGCTATTCATGTCCAACTGAGTTTCAGCACTAAAATAATAAGTTCTCATGCCAGGATGTTCTGCCTGGAAAAGAGGGTGAAGAAATGAGTACCTGCCATGACCTCAATATCCCCAAGAGGGCAGCAGAGATACAACAACGCTGGTCAACAGTGCCTGCGAACAGGAACATTAGCTCTGTTGACAAGTTACAGTGAATGCAGGTACAATCCACATGCATTTGATTTGTCTTTGTATGAGCCCTGCATAATCCTCATGTTACATTCAGCACAAGTACAGCTAAACATGTGACCCAACCCCCACATTTACACAGGTGGTGGCCCCTGGTTTCATTTGTAGAGTGAAGACATACTGGGTCTTTGTTACAAAGAGATGTACACAGGTCTATGCAGGATGTTCATGCATTCAGTGTAACAAGTGAACAGGGCAGTTCGAGACCCGGGTGCCGCATGACGGAGTGAGCTCCCGTCTCTAGTTCCAGCTCCTGCCAATCTAGCAGTTCGAAAACAAGAAGTTGCAAGTAGATAAATAGGTACCACTTCGGTGGGAAGGTAACAGCGTTGCGTGTGCCTTGGTGTTTAGTCATGCCGGCCACATGACCACGGAAACATCTTCGGACAGCGCTGGCTCTTCCTTCGGCTTTGAAATGGAGATGAGCACCGCAACCCTAGAGTCTGATTCGACTGGCTTTCGAGCAAGGGAACCTTTACCTTTACAGTTTAGTCAACTACAGTTTAGGTAGGGCCTCAGGTTCTATGGGGCCTCTACAAAAAAATAGTGTGTCTGTGTGTGTCTATGTACAAACACACACACACGTCACACAATGGGGCATCTTAAACTTGACAACTTGACATTGTTTAGGGCCTCAGCACGTCTTTATGCAGCAGCATCCAGTTTTCTGATGCGTTATTTTAATGTCATTTGCATTCCTCCTGTCTCTCAGCCAGACCTTGGCTAAACCCAGCTCCACTAAGCTTCAGCAGGGCCACTGCTTTCTATGCCTCCTGACCATTGGCCCTTTTCACATTACTGTTCTAAACGGGATGTTATTCATTGGCCCCGGTCACACGTGCCGCAAAATGCGGGGGGGAGGCGTGGCTATTTGCGGCACCGCAATTAGCCGCGCAATAACACGATCAGACGCCATGGTGGCAACCCACAGTTCCGGCCCTCGACGTGTGCGCTGCAACGAAGACGGCCAGAGGGAAAAGCCGTGCCGGCGCGATCGCACCAAGGGAGTCCGGAGGCAACCCGTGGCAAACCATTTACTATTACCTTCGAGGAGGTATTTTTTAATTGCGCATTTTCGGCAGCATGCCACAGGTTGGCCACGGTGCGCTCTACTTGCTCCTGGAAAATTCGCCATCCAATTGTGGCTCTCCCGCGGCAAATTCGCCATGCGAATGGCTGATTCCGAGTAAAGTGATACAGGGTTGGGAGTTACATACGGCAAATTTCCTTCTGTTAATGAGCCGTCTCTGAAGCTCTGTGGTCATTTCAAACTGTGCCCCTTTTTCCCCTGCCCTTTCCCCCCACGTGATCTTCCTCAGACTTTTTTTAATGTTCTAAGCTGAGCGCTATAGCGCTAAGCCAACATGGCACTTCAACTGAGAAAAAAAAAGCCCAAGGAATGTTGCATGGTGAAAAAGAGCAGGGGGAAAGCGTCATTGTAGGAAGCACTATGGGCATTTTAAACAGCACACCACAGCGATGCAGAAGTGCAATGAAGGGGCTGAAAACGGAAAAGAGCAGTTTCCCCCCAAAAGCAGCTCAATCACGCTGCTAACTCGACGCAAGCGGGTTGTGATGAACAGGTAAATAAAGTCGGCTAGCAGCCGGTTACTAAAATGGGTCTGTCTGAAAAGACAGAAGAAATCCATTAGCAACCAGTTACTAAAACGGAATGCAAAGGCAGCTTGAAAAGGGCCCAGAAGGCAGGGACTGGGCCCAGAGGCGAAAGGGAGATAGCAGAAGCGACGCCTGACCTTGAACACAAAGCGCCGGTTCTTCTTTTCCTTGGAGAATGCTGTGCGAATTTCATAGCTAGGGAGAGGGATGCTGCCCAAGACCATCTCTTCTCGGCTGTCTGGAAGACACAATGTCGCACCCAAAGCATACAGGGATTAACTTGGTGCTCTGCCAGGGCTCGTCTCTGCAGTCTCCTCAGGAAACAAAAGGAGGGGATGGGAGGGACATCTTGATCCTGAATCGGAGGCCAGAACCCAACTATTGAGGGCTCTCTGTCCTCAGACTTCAGGCTACAGCCCTCTTTGACACCCCGTAGGGAAGACGAGCATGGGCAGCAGGAGGCCTGGGGGGGGGGGTACCAACTGGAGAAAAAATGCCCTGTCCCTTTCTTAGAGGATCAACGAGATGTAATTTGCCACGTGAAGGGAGGGAAGGCGGCCTGGTATAGCCCCATCTTGATCTCGTCAGGTCTCAGAAGCCGAGCCGGGTCGGTGCTTGGAGTGGGGAGGCCACCAAGGAAGACTCTGCAGAGGCAGGCCACGGCCAACCTCCTCTGCTTCTCTCTTGCCTTGAAATCCCCCTTGCTGGCTGCAGCTTGACGGCACTTTACACACACGCAGCTACCAGGTGATGGCATTCACCTCCATGCCATGCGGTGGCTCAGCTGCCCCATTTCCACACATTCAGCCTCTATCAAAGGGACAGTTTTTTCTCCTGGACAGGTGGCAGCTCTAACGCTGGCTAGGTCTGCTATAAAGACTAGTGGGCCTGGCCATCTTCCCTGAGCTGCTCAGCACCGACCACTGACCCTGGGCTGAAGGACAGTCACTCCAGCCCTGCTTCCAGGTATGGCTGCCCTTAGCTCTTCCTGCTCCCAAACCCATCAATAAAACTCTCAAAGAGTGAATAGAAGCACACCTGAGTTCAGACGCCCTCTCTTTAGACTCGATGCTTTATCCTGAGGTGTGCCTAAAGAGAATCAGCCCCACGGGACATCTTTTCTCAGGGTCTTCTTCAACACTCCAGGGACAGTTACCCCCCAAAAGCAAGGACCAAAACTGTCCACAGAACAGGGAGGGCTGACCCAGGCATCATTGTTAAACCTGCCACTCACAAACCCTCCCTCTAGGAAGGAAACTAGAGACCTGCGGCCCTTTGAAAACTAGCAAAATGTTATTCATGTCTTATAGTGCATATTTCTGCGAGAAGCCTAAAAAGGAACCACAAGGGGGGGGGAGGAAGCCTAAATTACCTCGATAATAGAAGAGGCAGTAATTCGAAAGGACAAACCAACGCCGTTTCCAGAGCTTAAGACCAGAACTGTCCTGGGGAGATTTTAAAAAAAACACCAAGATTAAAAAGTACGGCAAAAGAGGCCATTACACGGGCAAAGGGACCCAGGAGACCTGGCTCCCAGCCACTGATCTGCTCCTAGACCTCCACAAAAGTCCTCCCTGCCAGTTTTTTACTGGCGTATATCCTGGACAGCCCATGCCAGCCAGATCAGATCTGGATCTCATCCGATCTTGGAAGCCAAGCAGGGTCGGCCCTGGCTAGTATTTGGATGGGAGCCCTCCAAGGAATACCAGGGTCGTGACATGGAGACAGCCTATGGCGAACCACCTCTGAATGTCTCTTGCCTTGAAAACCCTACGGGGTCACCATAAATTAGCTGTGACTTGATGGCAAAACAACAATGACCAACCCAGCTGTTCAGAGACTTCGCAAAGCAGGACTTTTCTCATTCCCCCCTTCTGCTGCAGCCCACTGAATCCCCCATATTTTGTCCCAGGAGGTCACTGGGCCCTCAGGAACAGCACAAGGGGCAAAGTGGAGGTCTGCCGTGGGAAGGGAGTCTTCAGAAGTGTGCTGCTGGATTATGGTTTCCAGCCAACTGCTGGCCACCTCTGGGAGACTCAAGGGGGTGGGGACACGTAAAATGCCATGACTCAGGCAGTGTAACGTCATTTACGGCGCAAACCCAGAATTGCTGTCATTGTGTCAGGGCAGCATTTCCACTGAAACGCGATGACTTCGACTGTGGTGTTTCAGTGGAATCCTAGAGTACCTCAGGAGTGCAATGACATCATTTCCTGGTTCGTGCCACAAGTGACATCGAGGCATCAGAGCAACAGTGATTTTTGCTGCATCTTTCCCCCACCACCCTACCGAGCGGTCCCAAGGGTTGGGGGCGGCCGGGCAGGGGGTGCTGGCAGCCTTAGGCTGGTTTAAGGTTGCCAACTTCAGACTGGGAAAGTCCTGGAGATTTGGGGATGGAGCCTAGGGAGGGATCCCATTGTGGCATAATGCTGTAAGAGTCCACCGTCCAAAGCTGCCATTTCCCCCAGGAACTGATCCCTGCGGTCCGGGGATCAGTTGTAATCCCAGGAGATCTCCAGGTCCCACCTGGAGGTTGGCAACCCTAGCCTGGATACAGGCCATTATCTAGCAATGAAGGCTGAGAACAGCACACCAATGAGCATTGCTGTGCTTTATAAAACGTGCGTCAAAAGCAAACACATCCAGGCAAAACAACCATTTAGCTATGTCTAGCATCCCTTGGCACATTCTTGAGTGCCATAGAGGCCCACAGCCAAACTGGCTGAAACTAAAAGCTGCCTGTCCCCGTCAGTGTTCCCTCTAAGCTGAGTTAGTGTGAGCTAGCTCACAGTTTTTTAGCCTCCAGCTCACAAATCTTTGTCTTAGCTTAGGAAGAATGGCTCCAGAGCAAACTAATTTCTGCAGCAGCCAAATTGCTCGCTCACAAAGTAGAATTTTTGCTCACAAGACTCCAAAGCTTAGAGGAAACATTGGTCCCTGTGGCCTCCCACTGCTGCAAAAACGCCGCAAAGCAACTGTCGGTGCACAAAGACGCATCATCGAAGTCCTGCTCCCCATGAAGGAATCCTTTCCCCCACCCTTGGTGCCTTATCCTACAAGCTAAGGTGCACTCTTCCTTTCTCACCATCACTTACCTTTTTGTGAAGCCATCCCCGCATGATGACCGGCTGGTTGGGGTCTCTCTTGATGGAATCTGACCTCTTTCCAAACGTGTGTACCTTCCGGACAGGCCGGGCTGAGTGTGGCTGTGAGAGGCAAAAGGATAGATGCTGAAAGTTTCTAAAAAATATTGGGAAGTTGTGGATCAATGGGGGTGTCGTCCCTTCTTCCTCTCCCCCTCCACCTGCCATTAGGGTAAGTTTAGATCACAGCTACACAATGGCTGCGGTCACACGGAACATTAGCCACGCAAGAGAGACGGAAGACAGGCGGATTTTCCAGGCGCGATCTCACCGGCACGTCTGGGAAGCGTAGCACTCCCGTGGCACAACCAAGGCTTCCTGCCGAAAACACGCAGCAAAAAACTAGTACCTCGGAGGTACTAGTTTCCGGAAACCGTGGGGCAAGGGCGGGCGTCTGATCGCGTTTCCGGTGGCATCCGGCGCCCGCCCATGTCCCCTTGCGAAAAGGGTTTTTTTTCCCCCAAGTCTCCATGGATGCGCACACGCACCCAACGGAGCATGCGCATTCGTCGTGTACACAAAAAAAGAAAACCAGTTTGCCGCACCGCACGCTTTTTCGTTGCGCG